TGAGCTGCAACACCAGCAGCCGACCATCACTCACTCTGATGGCAGGGGGTCAGCTGGGATTCTTTGGTGGCCTCCCGGGCAATAGTTAAAAAGAAGATTTTGGTTCACATGTCAATGTCTAACTTGAAAGCAGTGAGTATAAAAAGTGATTTTTTTTTTTTTTTTTAAATTGTGTTTCACCAGTGACAGTAACGCAGCCAGGAAGGGGAGTTTCCCTGTGAGGGCGTTTGATTGCATGTGAAGCTTACAATGGGGCTGGCTATGCCTGGTTTTAATTTTTTTCTCCTGTATGAGCTATTTTCTTCCCCCGTACCAAAGGGGGGTTGGGGGTGGAAATTAAATCCAGACAGCTCCAACTGCACTTTACATTTCATATGCAATCAAACAGACTTTGAGATACCCTCAGCTACCTTACCAACCTGCCTGCCATACAGAGAATGTAAATAAATACTAAAATCCCAAAACATCGTGTTCCTATGATAACTCATCTTTTAATGCAGAAACATACATTTGGGGCAAATTCTGCCATTAAATTTACCCTGACACATAAAGCATGGTAAGATTTGCAAAGGACTACATAGGAGTAGTCTCTGTCTCACTGCAAATACTAAAAAAAAACCCTGTAAGCATAAGTGCAGCTGATAATTCATCAGTGAAATAAATTATTTTGGACAGAATGAAGCCAAAAGAATCACTACTTACAGATGAAGCTCTTTACAAAGATAAACTTTTCAAAATAAAAATTTCAAACTAAAACATAGTATTTTAAAAACTAAATTTCAGTCCTAAGAGAGTTAATTAATGCGAATTACTTAGTGTATGTTAAGCTGTTATGCTTAGATGTCTTAACAGTCAGAATCTGAGAGATATTAAATACTGAAATTATAGGTTCTGTATGTAAAAGCAATGCAACCAACAAGCAAAATGGAACTGGGAATTACATGCAGCTATAGCCAGTATAATCAGCTCTCTTGTATGTTGTATCCTTTTTCTACCAGTTCTTCACAGCATTAGACTGTTGAGATCATTGAGAGTGATGCTATTGTTTCCTACATAGTTCCTCTATGCCACCCAGAAGAAAACAAACTAATTCAAAGCAACAATACATTAAGGAATAGCTCCAGAGTTCTGCTTTTCACTGCTAACTGCAGTTTATTTGAGGCTATGAATTTATTTCTACCAGAATTGATTTGCTTGGGCATGGAGTAAAGCTGTGCAACTTCAGTCCTGCAGGAAAAAGTAAAAGGTTAATTTTTCTTCTCCAATTCTCACATATCTGAGGAAAGACTATGACTCTAACTCTGCATAGTTAAGCTAATAAACTTTCTCATAGAGTGAGACAATAGGAACTGTGAGCATACTGTACAGCACAATAAGTGTTGGCACATGAACTATTTCAATCTTGAGGGACAGTGTTTCACAGTATATCAGTGACAGAATATCAGCTTGCAGCCAGAATTATGAATGAAAAGTTTAAGCCTTTGTGAAAGTATTGACTTAGAATGATACTTCTGCAGTCACCTCAAAAATTGATGCATTGAATTATTTTGGGGAACATGGCATTTAACACTTCATTTTCTAAAACTGCTGAGCACACAAATTCATTAGCTTAACCCTTTAAGACATGACGATTAAAAAAGGTGTTGTACTATTGTATTATATGGGTGAATACATTTGCACAAATTTAAGGCAATCAGATAAAACAGTATACATTCAGCCTATGCAGGATTATTTTACAGGTCTTCTTATAAACTCGGGGAAGTAGTGGGAGACAGAAAAATTCATGTCTCTCCCTTTCTCAGGCACCAGACTGCAAGGGACTGTTGGTGCATATTAATTTCACGGTAAACTGTGTGCTTGGAATTGTCACAAATGCTGTCTCTGGAGAGCTATGGTTATTTGTCTTGTAATAGTCTCTCATGACTTTGTGACTACTATACAATAATACTTCATCAACAAATGCTATGGTTACTTTTAAATTAGTAAACAAACAGTCTAAGGATCCTTTTGTACCCCTGATGCAGCTCAGCTTACGTGGCACCGCTCACATCCATGGAGCTAAACTCTTTCTCCTCTTCTCCCCTACTCCAAAAAAACAACCTAAAACCCAGAATGGCCTCATCCACACGGCTTATTAGGAACAGTCTCAGGCCCACGCTTGTTCCCAGACTGTGCTCAGACATTGTTTGGGATGGTGCTAATTGGTCAGGGTCAAAACGGTTCCAGGGACTGTGCTACCAATTAGCAGCACATTCACTTATGCACATATTCAAGCCCATAAGCCCTGATCTAGCACAGGACCATCCTGTCTCTGCTGCCAAAGGCAAATCCTGAATTTGGCACCCTCCTTTGACAGATTCAGTTAATAAGGTGGCATCTTCAAATTCCAGCTGCCGTGGGCTACCTCTGTGCTTCCCCCACACAGAGAAGAGGTAGCAGGGAGAGCAGAAGTCCAAAGAACTGGGTCATGTGAAGCACAGGAGCCTTCATGTGCAGCCCAAACCACTGACATCATCTCTGACAGTGGAAGACACATATACAAATATGGATCTACCCAAAAGATCTTCAGCTGAGATACAATAATCTGCCAGCTGATACAAAGTAGAAAAACACAATTTACCTTTCTTTACAATGGAGCACTAAGGGCAAGGGCTTCACCAGACCACTGGTGCCTTTGAACAGCTATAAAATGTCCCTCTGCTTCCGGAATTGACAGAACATTTCCCCTAGCCAAAGCACCACAAAAGAGAAAAGTTTGGATTAGATGAGGTGGTGTGAATACTGTCATCACTCACGCATTGGATGAAGATTTTAGATGAGAGAGAAAAATTAATGAATTCTATTCAGATATTCTCACTATGTTTTATCTGCATGTGACTGAAGCTCTAGTGTCAGATAACATGCATCTGATAACCAATAACAGTTGGAAAAAAGAAATCACAGGAAACTTTGGGAAACAGTTTTTCAACTGTTTCTCTCAAACTCTCTGGATAAAACAGGTAAGTTCAAAAGTTTGGGGCATTTTGCCACATACACTTAACAAAAGACACCCTAATCCCATATAAACTGTTTCAATTCATCATTGCTACAAGATTACTCCTGTTGTCTGTCTCACTACATCTGACTTTGAACATACTCACTAATGATTGAAAAATTAATTTTAAATGGTCCTGTCTGTAAAACTCACCAAATTTATAAATCACTATCATTATTGGTTCTCTGTATTATGCTGCCCAGATAGATTTTTCACTTTCCTTCTTTTTCTGCAGCATTGTTGTTGTTTTGAAAGGGAAAAGAAGTATACACTTTCATTTTCCCACAATTCCGAAATATTCAGTGGGAAGAAAGCATAGAAAATTACACATTTTAAAGTGGAAAGTTTGAATAGGATGACTTGCAGTTGCCTAATAAAAAGACTATGAAATAATGGGTCGAGGTCTGGCATTTTACTAGAATTATATAATACGAGGCTGTTGCTTGTTTGTTCTCATTGGAAACCAATGCTCTGTTGATTTGATACTGTCGAAGACATTTGCTGAAAGTTTGTTTAGCATTCCATTAGAACTGTTTTTCCATCTTCCTTTATTTAGGGCATAAAAATACTGAATTTACTTGCTTGTGCAGAATTTTTGTATCTGACCCTGTCAAACCGTTCTGTCAAAACTGAGCACAAGACTGGCTTCTCTTGGAGGAACACATAAACAGTTAGTCAAAACCAACAGGGTTTTCCTCCAGTAGGAATGACAACACTTTTTTCCTTTCTTTAACAAACTTCTAAATATTTTTTCCGTTTTTCAGGAAAATTGAAGCTGAAACTCTATCTAAGCTTTTTGCCTTTTTTTTTTTTTTTTTCCCCCCACCAATTTTGGGGATACCATCTTTTTTCACCCCCAGAACCAAAACCTTTTCAGTACTTCACAATGTTGCAGATCCCACTGTAACACCCTGTGTTTTTGGAAACTTCATTTGAGCTTTTGGCACTGAACATAGTCATACTTGACTCTTGTTTTATAGCAACCTCTCTTCTTCAACCATGTACACAGCACTGTAATTCTTCCAGGGTACAAGTGCTGTTATTTATTTTCTGTTCATGGTTAATGTATTAAAAATACAACTCTAAGAGACATGGGGTCTTGCCAGCCTTCCTTGCTTGAATGTAGGGAATAAGGCTCGAATTGTTTTCAAAACAGAACAGAATTCCTAAAAGCACCACTGTATGTTAGAGACTAAGAAGTATGTTTAAAGTAGGTGCAAGACGATGTACCAATGCTTCCGTGTCTTTCTACAGAGTGCACCATTTTGTCTGTGAAAAATAATGGGAAAGAACGGGGTCAGAAATGCCTGCCCCCCCCCCCCCCACACACACACACATCCTGTGCCCAGGCAGGTCTCCAGGCGCTAGGGACACCCGTGACCCCAGCCAGCCCAGACACCTGTCTTCCCTTGGGCTTGTCCCCTGCCATTGAGAATCACAGTACAATAGAATTAATTATGAAGAGGTTGGAATGGACCCTAACGATCATTTAGTCCCAACCTCCCTACCATGGGCAGGGACACCTCCCATTAGACCAGGTTGCTCAAGGCTTTATCAGACCTGGTCTTGAACATCACTAGGGTTGGGGCATCCACAACTTCCCTGGGCAACCTGTTCCAGTGTGTCACCACGCTCACAGTAAAGAGTTTCTTCCTAACATCTAACCTCAATTTCCCCACTTTCAGTGCGTACCCATAAAGAAGACAGTTTCACAACCAACGCTAGCATAAAATGTTTCTGGCACAAACGCGTGGCTGAAGGGGGATCTGTGCCTCAAACACGTCAACGGCTCCTCCCAGGTACTAGGCCGGCCCTCCGTAACAGCAGCTCCCGTCCTTCCCGCCTCCGCACAGTCCTCCCTCCACCTCTCCCTGTCCCTGATCCCGTCCCCTTCACTGCCCGCCCCTCCCACCGCCTCTTTCCGCCTCGGCCTTCGCGTTTCCTGCCGGGGCGGAGGACGTTTGTCCCTGCGGCGCCGCCGTCTCGCAGTGGCTGCGCTCGTAATCATGGCGGCGTCTCTCTCAATGTCAGCGGCCCTGAGGTGCCTCCTCGCCCAGCGCGGGGCGGCCACGGCCCGCCCGCCGCCGCTCAGGTAACGGCACCGCCACCGCCCCGCCGCCTGCACGGGGGCTCTGCGGCGCTCCGGTGCCCAGGGGGGCTCGAGGAGCCCGTCCCCGGCCTCGGGCTGCGCCGCGGCCGCACCAGCCGGAGGGGCTGCGCAAGGCCAGGCCGCGGGCGGGGGGCGGCCAGGCGGGCGAGGGGCAGAGCCTTCCTCCGCGTCTGTCCGTGTCTGGCCCTGCGTGTCCATGTCTGCCCGGGAGTGACCTTGCCTGTCCTTGCCGCCCGGCTCGCGATGACCGCCCGCCCAGTGTCCTTGCGGCGCCTGGAGGTCGAGGGCTGGTGACGCGGCTTCGTTGCCCAGGAGCCTCCTCTCGACAGCGGCCCTTCCCCGAGATTTGCACCCTACTGTCCTGTTCTGTCCCCTGCAGTCTTTTCTCTTCACCCCCTCCCCCAAATACATTACCTTTTTATGGGGGAGCATAGTTGCTTCTTCATTGATCTTCTAAAAATAGTGCTGGAAATAGCTGTATAATTTTTCATAGCTCATTGTTGTTTATTTCTTTAATGCAGAGATGTGTGTTAAAAGCCCAGTAGAAGACCTAACCTACAGTCGAAAATGCATGCATATGTTTCCTGCTGTACACCTTATAGATGATGATGATGATGATGACACCTTATAGGACTTAGGCTTCTGTAAGACTCCTTTCTGGTGGCGAGAAATAATGTAGTTTAATGCCATTATTGTGGTTTGGAGGGTTTGCTTTTCAGTGCTGCTCAGGTCTCTAAACACATAAAAGTTTATTTCAGTAATTTTTTGTAAAATCTGTGGGCATACATAGTATGTAGTAATACATACCTGTGTGTGTATATATAAACACAAAGAAAGCTATATGCACACATAGAGAAAGAAGAACTATAGCCATATTATTTTTTCACATTTATATGCTCTCATCGTCCCATTGGTTCCTTCTACCTTCTCTCTCTTTAAATGACACCTGTTTTATGGCACTGAAAGTTAGTTCTCCGTCTCCTAAATATGCTTTGGAATCTGTGAGTATGAATTTTGGAATTCTCTATGCTAATGTGGGAATGTACTGTTCATGTTCGGTTTCTTGTGTCTGCTCATCTTTTACTCCTCTGTGGTTTTGACAGAACAGTTGCCTATGCCACGTGGTAAATTGGGCCAGTCAAGTGATTCAGGTTAAAAATAATTCCGTTTGTTTGTTTGTTTTAAAGTTTTAGCACTCTATGATTGAAGTAGTTATTTCAGAAAAATAGTAGGGTGTAGCAGGGGTGGGTATGAACAGCATGGGAATGTGAGGTAGGAACTCTTAAGTAGGGATTTCTTTTTTGAAACAGTTCCTTAGGTTCCTTCCCTGCCACAGAGGGAGTAGAATAATTAGCATCCCTTAGTGCTTTCAGTAAGAGGAATGTTGAAGATATTCCAGGCCTGAGGGAGACTAGAATTTAGCTTCACATTGCATAGGAGAGTGGCCTTATCATAAATCAGCACATTTCTTGGAGAAGCAGGAGGGAAGAACATTATGAGTTTCTCTTACTTAAAGTTTTACACAGCTTTGCAGTCATTTCTTGTTGGAAGAGGAGAATAAAGTTTTTTGTGGAACAAGAAAAAGACATTTCAAAGTAAGGTATTTTTGGCACTGTGATGGAATGGTTGAGGCTGTCAGTCATTGCATAATTTTTGTAAAGTATTTATTTTCTTGATTAGGTAGGTATGAAACTTACATCTTTCCTCTTCTCATTTACTGTTTTGTATGAAAAGAATTCTTAACCAGCCTCTGTAGTCTCCCTTCTTGGGAGCGAGAGTCAATGTACATAATTACAGAAAAGGATTTAGGGCTCTACATTATAAATTCAAGATGTCTTCCTGTACTCAGAGTGAGGTAATAAAATTGGATGCAAGTGCATGGGAGAAAGCGCATCTCTTGCTTTTTTACTTTGTAGCGCTTTTTGAGAGCCACTGTTGGGTTTGTTTTCCTTTGTTACATACCATAACCTTTCTTTAAGAGCATGTAATCCCTCGTATTTTACCATAAATCTAGACAAATTTCAGTGTACAAATAGATGGCTCAAAGTTTGGCAGTTTGTAAGTCCCATTTCCAGCTTTTAGTGTTTCACATCTCCCAATCTCACACACTTGAATCTTACTCTACAAACCACTTCAGCTTATTTTCCAGTTATAATGATCAGTAAGTGTCCGTAAACTAGTGGTTCACAACATATCTTGCAATTGGATATATAGATTCTGAAAGAAAAACAATATTTCAGGAAAGTATTTTGACAGATACAGTTTGGTACAAGTTTAGCTTCTTTGTTTCGGAGTATATTTAAAGTATTTATCTACTTTATTATTGGCATAATCTGTGTATTTGTCAAACTGTAGAAAGAGTGTACTATACCAGTATGCTAGATGTAGGTCTTAAAGAAAATAAAGTAATTAAAAGCATTAGAATTACTAACAATAAAGATTATTGATGTTCTTAGGAAATGACTGAAGAAGATGTTGGAATTGTCAACTGTGAGGGCATTTGAATGATTCTTACATCGCTTCAGCAGTTTGCTTTTATTTACTTAGATTCAGAGTAAAGTTTGGTTGGTAAAACTTTAAGTTATAGTTTCATGTTATTTGCCTAAATTAGGTTATGAGGGGAATATAGTGTTTGAACATTGTAGGATTAAATTTTAAACCTTCAAGATACAGTTATATTTGCAGTGGTTTTTTCTTTTTTTCAGATTTTTGAACGTGAAACTTCTCATAGTTCTCCAGTTTTCAGAACTTCAATTAAATAATAATATAGCTACCCTCTGATTTTGAAAAGAATTCCCAAGGTCTCTTTCCAAGAGATATAACAGAGATTCTGTTCTGATTTCCACGAGCGATATCTGTGTTTAGAAATTTTATGGCATCTTCTAATAGTGATTTTTCAGCGCACGTTTAAGCACTTTAACATATGCATATCCAAGCTGCCTGCTGATTAGAAAGTGTTACTGGTAACACAACATGGGAATAAGTGTGTGGTCCAAAGCTAAGAGAATATGCAGCAACATTCTTTGTATTTTTGTGAAGTTCTGAGCGCCTGCTTTAAATCACTTATGCAGTGGTTACTGAGGCCCTCGTTTTATCTGGTGGTGAGCCTAGTAAACATCAGCAGGTGGCTTGAGCTCATTCAGAAAGTGGAAATGCATCCTTTGCTTAAGTCTCATTTTGAAGCTTTCATGGTCTAAGATCTATCAAGGTTTCAGGAGCTTGCAGTTATGTTGAACGCGCTCTCTGGAGTTTGACCTAAAAGACTGCCATATTTTCTTGCATTAGAAAATAAGGACAGGTGAAGCTGGGAAAAGAAACTTCAAACAAGTTTCTGTTGTCCTGGGAATCAGGTGTTTGTTTCAAAACCGCTAGCATTTCAGAGAAGCCCTTTATATTATAATATATAAATATTTGCAGTCAGAATATGGAGATATTAATTTCTGTTGCAGAAGGTGGAGTATTCTGTGTGTGCAGGTGTGATACCTGGCCATGTGCTCTCTACATTTCACGATAATGGATTTTTCATGTCACTTTTCAGATGGTTCTCTAAAATGTGTTACCTTCCTCTTGTAATTCTGTTTAAAGACTCTGAGTATAATAGCAAATGTTTTGCTAGTTCATCATAAATGGATACCTGAGGTTATGAAAGAAAATAATTATGGACACTTGTGTACTACAACGCCTGTTACTCAATTCATACTCAAGAAGCTGAGCTCAAGAAACTGAGGAAACATGGAATGCCATTTAAGTCTCAGTTTTCAGTTACTGTCTATTTGAGCAAGCTACCCCCACATTAAAAAAAAAAAGAACAAAAATAAAGGATTTATAAAACATGGAAAAAAATTAATTTTTTTATTTTGTCCTTTCCAGAAAAGTAGAGACGGTGTTTATTAACGTTTAAAGAAAAATTACTGCAAGATAACCAACTTCCTCTTTTGTGTTATTGTTTGTTTTGGTTTGGTTTTTTTTCCTTTCCTCGAATAATGTTGAGGTTTTTGTTGCATGTCCTTATCAAGGCATGCATTAAAACGGGACTTGGTAGACTTCTCAGAACTCCATCTGTGTAATACAGAGACCTGTATGAAGATGAAAAAACCTCTCACTGAACCTGGTTATTAGAAACTCAATTTGGCCAGTGTTAGTGCTAAGCGGTGTGAGATTTTTGTCAAGTTTGGAATAGGTAGCGTGTTGCACTTGTTGTACTACTTATTATTTCATCTATCTGTAATGCGTGTCTCCTACTTACATTACTCCACACAATATATGAGAGTGTGTGTGGCGTTGCCAGGTTCAGACACATCAGAAGTTTCAGTTTTCATTAATAAAAACCATAGTTCCGTAGAATTTAACTTTGTTAAAAAATAATTTCCACTGATAAATATTGTCTGCATAGAGTACCTGGAATAAAATAACACCAGGTGAGGAAGTTTTTTGCAGTCTTGCATTTGTGCATAAGTGGTGCTTATAGATAGTTTCATTTTGGTTATTCAGAGAGGAAAAAGACCTTTTAAAATACATATTTTGCTAGAATTTTACCATTTTATTTTGAATATCTATTTTGTTTTCAATACGTATCAGAGAAGCTACAGTGGATCACACTATCTTAAAGCACAATAGCACAACTCTAAACTGAAATCTGGAATGAAATTCCAGGGTGTTTTTGGACATGAAATTGTGTTGACATGGAGAGTTGGAGTAGGCTCAAGGTGAAAGATATGGAGAGACAAATGGACATAAACAAGCGGAGAAAAAGATGAAATCCACTGCAGTTTGTACACTTAATGAGCCTCAGTTTAAAAAACAAAACTGCAGGCAGCAACGAGTGTTTGTCTGATCTTGTAGACACCCTCAGGCAGTGGTTTTGGAGTAGGTGTTTCATATATCTAAGTGTTTAATTCATTTAAAATCCTTTCCCTTTGACTCTGTCCACACTGTTCATATAGGTTTTTTGTAGTAAAGAGAGGCTCTAGGAGCTAAATCTT